CCTGCCCCCTCCAGCTTCCCCGCTGCATGCTGCTACCCCTTGCCTTGCACTGGTACTGGTGTGTGTGCACCCAGGCAGTGAGGCAGCCCAGGGAGTCATGCCAGCTACAAACCAGTCCCTGGTTGTGTCGGGTGAAATTAAGCAGGACAGGCCCACAGGGCAAGGGAGATGCGAGGCTGAGGTGGGAGAGCACAGCCAGCAGGTCAGGAGGAGGCCAGGCAATGAAAAACCAAAATCAGAGCAGTCTAAGCCTTCCTAGAATTGCACCCTAACACCCAAGACAGCATTTTGCAGGAGAAAAATACAAACCTAAACCTGCCCTCAAGAGTCATTTTCCACAGCGACTGGGCACTTGGGCATAACGGCAAGAACTGAAGCAATGAGAGGGGTGACAAGACACTTTCCCTGGGACTCTCTAGGGCAGAGGAGAGGAAAAGCCTGGAGTTAAGCTATCAGTCTGCAGTGAGAAACTCAAACAGGGGCACTCATGATGCATGAGTCAGAAAACAAATGGGATTAGAACAAAAACATCAACACAGGAATCCCAGGCAAGCAGTCCTCAGCTCTTTTGAGAGACGAAAGAGACTAAAGGTTTCATAGCACCAAGTTATGCCACATAGTGGTTCAGGGCAGTAAGAAATCCCAGCTGCCATCGAAACTGTGCAGAAAATGTAGCTGGGATGTGGCCAGGCACTATGGTCACTGTCCTCTACCTCTGCCCATAGAGAAAGAAAAACAATGTCTCCTGACTGTGAGCAGTCAAGGGCAGGTTTGGGGTAGCTCACTTGTGGCATGAAGTCCCACACAGAAGCCCAAGGTCAAGAGGGAAATAAGCACCAAATATGGGATCACAGATGCCATCGGCTGCAGTGCCTGGGGACCCTTCAAGGTGACAAAATCCCCAGCACATACACAGACACCAGTGAGTTAAGCCACCTCCCAGAAGAGCTGTTCCCTGCACAGGGGTTTCAAGCAGCTCTTCCCACACACCAGAGCTTGCACCCACGGCTACTCCTGCAGCTGGGACAGCTACTCCAGACTCCCCTTTCCTCCTGACCAGACCCAATATGGGGATGAGCCAATGCTCTGTCACTACATCCTGCTGCATCTCAACCTGCTGCATCTCAACCGTTCACAATCAAGAGCCAGCATCTGGCAGCACACGCTCAGGAAGAGATCGGGAGCCTCAGCTGCTACAGCCCAGCGCAAGGGGACACTGACAGGCTGACCCCAAGTGGAGAATTTCTTGGTCATGGACACAGTTCTGCCTGTGCCCACCCACCCAACAAGCTAAGCCTGCTTCAGGCTGTACAAGGCAGCCCAGAGTGCTCCCTGCTGCCCTTCGCAGGGCTGAGACTGACTTTACAGAGGAGCAGCTGCCACCAAGACCCCAGGAACCATCTGTATGCGTAACCACGTGCACTTTGATTCCAGTGGGAAAACTGAGCACACCAAGACAAGTGGAGGCTGCAGGACCTTCCCTCTCCTCATTCCCTGCCCTCCCCTCCTCAGCTGGCCCCTTCCCATGAGTCACTGTCTCTGCACAGGCAAGGTGGCACCTTGCTGGCCACTGAAGCCGACTAGCTGACCCCAGGAACCATCTGTATGCGTAACCACGTGCACTTTGATTCCAGTGGGAAAACTGAGCACACCAAGACAAGTGGAGGCTGCAGGACCTTCCCTCTCCTCATTCCCTGCCCTCCCCTCCTCAGCTGGCCCCTTCCCATGAGTCACTGTCTCTGCACAGGCAAGGTGGCACCTTGCTGGCCACTGAAGCCGACTAGCTGCACAGTGGGGACAGTTGTCAGGAAAGTAGCAGCAAGAACCCCGGTTGGTGTTTCTCCAGAGGAGCACTTCAGGACTCTTGCTTCTTGGGCTCCTGCAGCAGACTCCTCCCGCTGCCAGCAGATGCCCAGCGAGAGCTCTGACCTCCACTGCTGAGAAACACCGTCGCAATGAGCGGGGAACAGTTGGCTCCGGTCCTTTTGGGCAGCACTGAGGCAGGGAGCTGGGGGTAATCCCCAACCGCTGTCAGCAGGCACTCACTGCTGGTGGCTTGTGTAGCTCCACCAGCACCAGGGGGCCAGGGAGACAACCACAGCCTCAGCTGACGAGCAGGTTGGGTTCCCCACATCTCAGACGCTACCTGAGCTGAAGCTGGCTGAACCAGGTGCTGACGGCACAGTCCACACGCATCACCAGGGAGATCCCCAGCAGGAGGCAGATGCTGCTCACCACGAAGCCCAGTGACTCAAAGAGGAACCTGCAGGCACAACAGATGCAGTAAGGACATCACAGCCAGCATGTCTGCAAAGACAAGCTGCTGCCCTCACTCCCAGCAGACTGATTTTCCTGACACTGAGAGACACCCCAGCAGTTGCTGCCTGCGACCTGGAAGCCAAGCACGCCTCTGGTTTAGAGGCCATTCAGGACAACACCCAGGTGGGATATTGAATCCCTTGGAGGCCACGGCCACACTACACTCCTATTAGCCCAAAAGTTTGCTAGTTTACCTTTTCTGGGTTTACCATTTCTGGTCTGGTATCCTTACCTGCCCTGAATATTCTTAAGTTTCAGGTGGGCTCTGTGTCTTCTTGGAAATCAAGATAAGGAGAAATTTCTAGGCTCTAGCTCAAGTCCAGCTTCTGAACTTGAAGCAGGAATTAGCTAAGGACAGTTCCTACAGCCTCTGCTAGGTAAGAAGTTGGAAAATCAATCATGGGGTCTCTTCCAACATTACTGTCTATGAACTCTAGTCAAGAGGAAAGGGATATGAGCCCTAACCCAGCATCAGAGCAACTCCTGGGACTTACTTTGGGGCAAAGACCTTCCAGACCATGAGGTGCCTCCTGAGGATCATAGCTGCACAAACACAGGCCAGAAGCTGTGGGGGAGATCAGGAAAAACAAGTTACAAGCAACTCTGGAGAGACCTCCTGGGCATGAGGTTCACATCTGAAGGTGGTACTAAACTGCACACACCTGAGAGGCTGGTACAGCACACACCAGCAATAAGCATCCCAAAGAGGATTCCTTTCCATTGCGTCCTCAAGTCAGGAAACACAAGCAGCTTGGGGTACACGCAGGGGCCCTCCTGGAGCCAGGCTGGGACAGCACAGAGGAGGGCTCGCACTGTGGCTAACCTGACCTTATGTTTCACTCAGAGGGGCACTCCTGCTCTCCTGCTGCAGGGCCTGCCCCCTCCCTTGCACTGTCTCTGGTCTGACCACACAGAATTATTTGAAGGGCTAAACCCCAGAAAGCTATTTGCTTCTTTCATGGGATTAAACTTCTGGTGTTTAGCTCCCTGTATCACCACAGCACAGGATCAGATGAAAACCAGAGCTGATGCAAAACAGATAGGCATGGTCAGAAAGAAGGGGAGGAGGATTACAACCCTGTAGTTTCTGAACAGATGTTGCCACTCTGGGCAGATGGGCGTGAAAAGCAGCCTAATCAGTACTGTGACTTCTGTGCTGGAGACCTTCCCAAAGCACAGAGCAAATGGCACCGCTGAGAAGAGGACCTCTTCCACTTCCAACCAGACGTATCACCCCTGGGCCTGTCTGTGCCCTGGCTGACCCCCTTCTCTCATCAGAGTGCCCCACAGTTGTCACAGCACACCAGTTTCCTCTTGGACAGCCTTCCCCACAGCCTCTGCCCGTACCTGTGTCCCAAGGACAAAGAGGTACTTCAGCCCCAGCTGCAGCAGAGCAGTGGAGAACTTCTCCGGGGACTCCCGCAGCCTCATCTCCATCATGTGCTCCTCCACCTCCTGCAGCTCCTCCCGGGGCTCCTTCTTGGGCTTCCTCTTCTGTGAGCTGGGCATCTCACACACAAAGGGCCAAAGCAGGAGCAGAGGGCAGCCAACTACCTCAAGGACAAAGGCACATGAAGTTACTGGAGCCCAGGAGGTGAGGAGCAGTCTAGGCTCTGCCATCATGCCCTGGACGTGCAGGATGCACATACCCCAGCTCCAGTTTGCTGGTCAGGCACAACTGCATGGAGGCTGCAGGCCATGGGCAGCTCTGTAGCCCCAGAAGGGGACAGTGAGGATGCTGCTGTTCAGCTGGTGCTGGAGCCTTCATCGCCTCATGCTCAGCCTGCAGGCCTCCAGACAAGGCAAAGCAGTGAACCATGTCTGCTCAGGCTCAACAGCCCAGGAAGAAATTGATTTACCTGCAAAGAGGATATGGGAGGCAAAGGTGTTGGCGCCCACCAGGACAGCAGGCAGGAGGTTCGTGCTGTGGTCAAGGTGGAAGCCCACAAAGGCTGCGTTCCAGTGGATGGCCGGGAATATGGGCTGGTGGCCTGTAGAATAGAAGAACTGGGAAGCAGCAAGGAGCCAGGAGATGACTGCATACCAGGGCACTGAAAAAGGCTCTGAGAGATTGAGAGAAAAAGAGACAGAGAAGGAGATATCAGCATCAAGGAACTAGACAGATCCATGGTTAAAAAAAGCCTATTGGGTTTTCTTCCAGGGTCCCTTTCCACAGTGAGGGACCAGGCATTCTCTTTGCTGCCTGCACTGCTACTGGACTTTGTCAGCAGCAGTGGGGTTCAGTGGCTGCTCACACCATGGTGAGAAGGGATGGGTACAGAGCCCCCTTCCCTGATGCAAGGGACTTCTTCCTCCTACTCCTCCCAGGCTGCATCCCTGCTGCACACATCTCTCTTCTATAAGAGGATTTAAGCAGGACTAAAAAAGTTAGGAGGATCCTGTGAGGATCAGTGCACCACCATTCCACAAGAGACTGAGCTCTGCTTCTCCCCCTGGAAATAAGACAAGGTTGCTGCAGATAAGGCCCAGGTTGCACATTCAGAGGATACTCTACCAAGCCCTGACTCACCAGCATCTCCAGCAAGGCCTCTGGCACGCGTGTGGATGTGCAGCAGCATGAAAGCCTCCAGGAAGAGGAGAAGGAAGGCGAGACTCAGCCGCTCGCTGTGCAGAAGCATCAAGAGGAAGCCCAGCAGGGTGAGTGCTATGACCAGGGCTGCCGAGTACACGCTGCCCAGCCCGTACGCTGCGACGGTGGCCTTGCAGCTGCCCTGCTCCAGGCGGCTCTTCTGAGACTCCTGCATCCTCTTGTAGATCTGAGGGATGACGTGGAGGAAGTCGACTTCAGAGCTGGGAACCCCCAGGTAGGGAGTGACGATGGATCCTGCTGACTCCCGCGTGTCCTTTGCGAACACCGTCATGGGATTGCACATGAGGAGCAGCAGCCCCACGGACGCTAGTCCATAGACAGCCCACGGAAAGGCAACAACTGCCACCTGCACCAGCTCCTGCAGCTTGCCGAGGGAGTCATCAGCACTGGAGGCAACAGCCCAGTAGCAGGCGATGCAGAGGACCACCAGTGGGAAGCCCCAGCGCACAAAGAGCACGAGGGGGTCCGAGCTGTTCAGGTTGCCGTAGTGCCGCAGCCAGCTCCGCACTGCATAGACCAGCCCAGCCAGCAAGGCCACGCACAGGAGGTAGAAGAGGTTCTTGGCCCGTGTGTTTCTCAGGCTGGCGAGGGGGGAGAGGAAAAGAGAGGGCCGGCACTGAGGGATTTCTTCACGGCACTGGTGGAAGAAACCAGAGAGGCGCACGCAGACCAGGAGCATGGCCACGAGGCACAGCAGGTACCAGATCTCCCTCCGGTAAGAAGAAAAGCCGAGGAGCTGCTGCTTGGGGCCTTCTGGCACAGTCAAGCGGCCATCCCAGTGGAGCTTCCCTTCCAGCAACATCACCAGCGAGGCCAGGCGGAAA